TCTGGCGTATAGCGAGTACTTCTTCAACTTCATATTCTTCTTCTTCGTCTTCAACAATGATTTCGTCTAAAATAGGTCTTCCCGTGAGTTCGTCAACTTGTGCTTTTTCCAGTTGTGATATGTGAAACACTGGGCTTCGAAGCTTCATTGTGTCTGGCAACGCTAGCTTGTAATTGACTTCTCCAATTTGTTCGAGGATTTCATAAGGTCCTATTTTTCTGACGTCTAACTTGTCACTTGGCCTATTGGTCTTGATGTTCGGCAATTTGTGGCCTCGTGAGTGCCGTAACAGGTAAACCATGTCCCCCTTCTGGAGAATTGGTCCTGCAATTCTGTCCTGGTCTGCGTACTTTCTCATTCTGTCTCGGATAAATTCGAGTTGTGTGCGCATTTCTTCGTGCAAATCGATCATTAGTTCTGCTTGCAGTCTTGCTTTTTCGGAGTTGGGCCCTTCTCGTGGTGGTCTAAATGCTTCTGGTGTGAATCCATAGTTCGCGTAGAACGGTGTGATCCCTGTGGATTCTGAAGGTGTACTGTTGTAACAGTATTGTGCCACTGGTAATTTTTCTACCCAATCGTCTTGTGCGAAGTTGATGTAGCATCTTAAGTAGGCTTCAATGATCTGATTGATGCGTTCTGTTTGTCCGTCTGTTTGAGGGTGGTATGCAGTGCTCAGTTTGTGGTTTGTCCCTAATTTGGCCATGAGTTCTTGCCAAAATTTGGAAGCGAATGTTCGTCCTCTGTCCGATATTATTTCTTTCGGTAGTCCATGATTTGCGGCGATCATTCTCATGTAGGTGTAAGCGAGGTCTTCTGCCGTGTGCGATTTATTGTGCGGCAAGAAGTGTGCTTCTTTCGAAAAGCGGCAGACTACCACAAAGATGCTGTCGTATTTTACCTTTGTGAAGGGTTCAGTAGAGAGGGGTAGGTCGGTGATGTGGTCGAATGTCACTGATTCCCATGGTCGTTCTGCTACTGGCAGCGGTTGTAGTTTCCCATATAGTTTATGTCTTCCGTCTTTCGTCTGTTGGCATACGCTGCAGTGTGATACAACATGTTGAACGTGTGCTTTGAGTCCGATCACTTCGTAGTATGTGAGGACTTGATTGTATGTTTTCCGTATCCCTTTGTGTCCATGCAGCGGGTGCTCGTGAACGTATTTTACTACGTCCCGTCTTAACTCTTCGGGTACCCAAATCTTTCCTTCGCGTTCAGGGTATCCTTCTTCTGTAGTTACTCCTTCTGGGTATTCCTCATTCTCATGATTCTTCACATATTCTTTGATTTTGTCGAGCATTAGGTCTTCTTCAAGTACTTTGAACATTGCGTGAATGTGTACTTGCTCAATGTTTCCTTTGTCGTTATAGCGTAGTGCTTGTGCCGTGAATTCCGGTATGTCTTGTTCATGGTCACTTCTTCTGCTTAGTGCATCGGCTCTTCCATTTTCCGTGCCTTTGCAATGAATAAGTTCATAATCGAATTGTGACAGGAATTCGAAGTATCCGACTTGTCGGCTGGAGAGCTCTCTAGTGGTAGTGAAGTATGAAATATTCTTGTGATCAGTGTAGACAGTGATCTTGTGTTCACTTCCATGGCAATAATGTCTCCATTCTTTGAATGCTTGCAATATAGCGTACATTTCTTTGTCATAGGTGGGATATCGTAGCACTGGTCCATTGAGTTTGTGTGAAAAGAATGCAACAGGTCTGAGTTTGCCGTCGTCGCCTGGTTGACTTAGAACCCCTCCGATCGCGAAATTCGACGCGTCGGTCTCAATTGTGATAGGTTTCTTTGGGTCAAACATAGCGAGAATTGTCTTCGAAGTAATGGCCTTTTTGAGTTCTTCAAAGGCTTTTTGCTGTTCCTCCCCCCATTCAAAAGGTTTATCCTTTTTAGTCATATTGGTGAGCGGGATTGCTTTCAGCGAAAAGTCCTTGATGAATTTTCGGTAGTAATTTGCGAGTCCAAGGAACGCTTGTAATTCTTTGAGCGTGGTCGGTACTGGCCACTCATCGATTGCTTTGACTTTGTCAGGGTTCATGTGAATTTCTTCGGGTGTGATGACATATCCTAGAAAGTCAACTTTCTGAGAATGAAACACACATTTTTCGGGGTTAACAAGGAGTTTATTTTCTTCAAGCTTTTGCAGTATGAGATGGACGTGTTTCTCATGTTCTTCGAGGGTGTCCGAGAAGATCAGAATGTCGTCGATATATGCGATTGCGAAATTATCCAAGTATGGTCCGAGCACGTGGTTTATTCTTTTCTGAAAGGATGCGGGTGCATTTGTGAGTCCCTGTGGCATGACAACATATTCGTATAATCCATATCTTGTTGCGAATGCGGTCATCCATTCATGTCCTTCCTTCATTCTAGTGAGCTCGTAAGCTCCTGTGAGGTCGAGAGTTGTAAACCATTTTTTCCCATGCAGTCTGTTCTTGATTTGTGAGATCAAGGGTAGCGGGGTTTTGTCTTTGATGGTTATTTTGTTTAACTCCCTATAATCAATGACTAACCGTAGTTTGCCATTTTTCTTTGGTANGAAGATAATGGGGTATCCAACTGGGGATTTGGAGATTCGGATGTATCCCTTTTTGAGTTGTACTTCGATCCATTCTTTGAGGGTTTTAAGTTCCATTTCGCTGAGATTATAAATTTTGTGAAACTTTGGAGAGGCTCCATCTTTTAGGACTATCTCGTGGTCCCATTCTGAATGTGGTGGAAGTCCTTCTTCTAATCGTTCTTCAAAGAGTTTTCTGTACTTCCTATATTGTTTTGGAACTCGTGCTAGTGGATCGTCGGATTGTTCAATTTTCTTGAGTTCTTGGTCCAGTAGCATTAGTTCTCGGCGCAAAATAGCAACATGTTTTCGCGTTCTTTGTTCTGATGTCTTCCTTCTTTTCTCAACGTATTGAGGAGGTGTCGTGGTGGGCTTAAGGAAAATCTTAGGCTTCTGGCTACCTGATTTCCTTTCTTCTGGGATTTCGTTATTTCGCCAACGAATCTGGCCGGTTTCCCAGTCTATATCGGGATTATGTTTGCTTAACCAGGGTATCCCTAGAACAAGGTCGTATCGTGGGATATTGGCTATGTCGCATACAGTTCTAGTAATGCGATTTTCAATATTTATTGACAGGTGATCAGTCCGTCGTTTAATCCATCCGTCATCGTAAAGGAAGTGCGCTCCCTCTGCGTGTCGTAACTGATACTTTCTCTTTTTCTCATACGCTGGCAACTGCAGGCGTATTGCAGTTGTAGCAGACATATAGTTGCATTGCGACCCACTGTCTATTAGGACCGTGAGAGGCTCCCCGTCTAAAAACACATCGTACGACATTTTTTTGAATGTTCTTTTTTCTTCTTCCTCACTGTCGTATTCGTCGTCTGGTTCGAGAGACATAATGTGTTTTGAGTCTTCCTGTTGCCCTCTTACAGGAGACCGTCCACGTTTTTTGGATTATGCCAGTTTAAAATCTTAATTTCCGCGTGTCGTGCACATTTTGGATTTTTGCAGTCGAAAAAATCGGTTTCATTGCATTCTTCTCGGGCGTCTTCTCTTTCATGCCATGTGAAGAGTTTTCGAGCTTTATGATATTCGCAGAAGGCTTCTTCACAGACTCCTGTAAACTCATTCGGTTTTGCGCATTCTCCTTCTCCTAGGACGACTACCTTGAGAGATCTAAACCTCCACTTGACGTCCCATGATAAGAAGCGCATGCAAGAGTGTGTATGGGTGACAGGAAGAAATGGGATCCTAATAGGAAAGGTGTCGTGCTTCCTTTTGTCGTCAAAATGTTCCATACATCGGTGTGTAACACAGTCAACCCAGCTAACACGATAGTGTCCTGGATGGTCTGGATTAATACGATCAACATCCCCGAATCTTCTTTCGTAACCAAGGTTTTGTCGTAGGGCTTGGTCCAGCGTAACAGCTCGAAGGATGAGTTGTCCTTCTACTTCTTGCTGTTGGAGTTCGGATAACCATCCGTACAGAAACGAAGGAGTGTTGTTCTCAAAAGGTTCTTGGGCTTCAACGATGCAATTTTGAAATTTGAATAGTCGGTTAACTTCTGGGGTTGGGTTGTCATGTCGTCTCCAGATGTCATCATCACGCTTATAGTTGCGTCCATAGTTTCGCCATTCAAAATCTTCGTCTATCCCAGTATCTACTTCATCCGTGTTTCCAGTTGATTGAAAGTCTTCCTGAGGGATTGTTTGTCGGTCAGGTATTTCAAATTCTTCAGCTAGTGTGTCGGAATCATCCGATAGTTCAGCTTCCGACTGGTAGTAAGGGTATTCGTTTTCTTCTTCAGCTGTGAAGTCTCTTTCCATCATCGAGATGGTCTTGCTGTCTTTTTCCATGGCGTGATTATCTTTTGGTGGTGGAATAGTAGACTTTTTAGGTGATCTGCAGTTTCTTGCCATGTGGTTTGGCTTCCCACAATTGTAACATTTAAAGTCTTTCTTTTTGTTGTCTTTCTGAATCATGCCGATGTCCATAGGTCCTGGAGTACCACTGTTGTCTTTAGCAATTTGTTCATTGTTCCTACCTCTGTTTCCTTGGTCATTGCGAGTGCTCATGTTGAGTTCGTATAAGAGATTGTCGGCTTCGACGCATTTTTCGATAAAGGATAGGAGGTCGTGCTGAGTTCGGTCAATGTCGTAGACTTTTTCCTTGACGCTTTTCTTGAGTCCATCGTAGAATCGTTTGATGAGTGCAGCTTGTCCCCATTCAACTCGAGAGGCAAGGTCTCTGAATTTTACAGCGTAATCAGAGCATTTTCCTTTCTGGGATACTTCTGCAAGTTTGTTTTCAGCCATTCGGACTTCTCCAACGTCTCCGAATGCTTTCACAAGTTCTCTTTCGAATTCTTTGAAGTCATCAAATACTTTCTTGACGGCAGGCGGGGGATTAGTCGGATCCTTGAGATATTCATCCCACATAGGTCGGAACCACTTGAGTGCAGTTCCCTCGAGGCGCGATGCCGCAAAGGAAACTTTTTTGTCCTCAGTGTTAATTGTATTCTCAAAGTCCATGAAGTAGGCCCTGAGCTGAGTTTGAAAGGGTCTAAGTTCGCTAATCTTCCCGTTGAACATGGGAGGTGGTTGTCGCTTAATGAGGATTCCCATGTCCTTCTTGATTTCTTTTTTCTTATTGTTCAAAGTGTCAATTAATTGCTTGTTGACTTGGAACATATCCTGAAGATATTCCTTCAAAGCATCTCCCTCCAGATTGTTCCAGTCAGGCTCATGGCTCATGGCGAGATCGCCATCCACATCGATGAGTCTGATGGGTTCAGAGGTCGCGGCAAGTGCCGGAGCGATTTGAGGAGCTGCAGTGTCGTTTCCAGTCATGGTGGTTCGATTGCTCACAAGATTCCAAGAGATCTTCTGAACAAGAGTCGTTAACGTGTGACGTCCTGACCTATACTATCGTACTTAGGTATAGGGTAGGTTCCCAATCTATAAACTCAACGTCGGGTTTATGTTGGCAGAGAGATGAGTTGGAGTCTTATGAGCGATGCAGTCACGTAGCTAACGAGGTTATGAATAACCAATCTGATTGTTATCTGAGAGTGCTATGTTAACGACTGACTATCTAAGTTCTATCTAATGAGCGTAATGAACGGTTCTTATATAGTAAGTCGTTCCACGAGGCTCACGATTTCAATCGTGATCCTTCTAGGGTGGCTCACTTTGGTGTTCGTGATCCATCAGGGATGGCTCACGCTTCTACGAGTGATCCCCTTCTGATTGGCCCATCGGTCCGTAGTTTATCCGTGGGTACGTATCTTATGGTTGTTGGGTCGTAACAAAACTAATGCATTAAATTTTGCAATTAAAGGGGTTTTAAGTTAACTAGGCGATAATAGCAAACTTAAACCTATTATATTCTTTTTACATAAACTTAATAAACTAGTGCTATAATATCCCATCTATAACAAAGAAATGTATGCTATATTATAAGTATTTAAAAAATAGAGATATTATTGCTATAAAAGTAAACACAAGATTACTGTCTACATTAATTATAAGAATATTTTATACTTTACTACTACTAAAGAGCTCTTCAGCTAATAAGTCAGATACTTTAAATTCCTATTATAATTTAATTATAAACTTATTTATTATAAAGGCATAGAAAATAAAAGAGCTAATGCATTAAGCAGAAGAAGTAACTATAAATAAAATATACTGGAATTTATAGCACAAGCACTATACTATAACAACAAAAGAAACATTAAGTAAGTATATATTTATATAATATTTAAAGTATTTAAAGAAGACTTAATGCTTAATAAAATTAAAGAATATATAAAAAATTATAAGAATAAGGAATATTTAAAAGGAGTAACTATAGAAGAAGGATACCCTGAATATAAAGGAAAGATTTAGGTATTTAAAGAGTTAAAAAGGGATATAGTAAAATACATTTACAAGCACCTGCTGCATGGATATAAAGGAATATAGAAAATATACAATTAAGTCTTTATATACTATAAAGTAATTAAACTTAAAGCATATATTTAATATATTATATTACACTATAGCATATGCCAATAAATAAAAGACAGAAGACATAAACTATATAGGAAACTATAACCGCTGCTAGTAGCAGAATAACTATAGGAATTAGTAATATTTAACTACATTACTAACCTACCCCTCTCTACTAAACCCTTTATAAAGGTAAAATATAACAGCATCTTTATAATAGTCTGTTGCTTTTTAAAAGAAGTATACTTCTTACTATATAATAAATCACATACAGCAGAAGACCTTGCTTATACCTATATAAAAATAATCGCTGTAAATCATAGACTACTAAAAGAAATAATATTAAATAAAGGATGAACATTTGCTTTTAAATTTTAGCAGGAACTTATAGCTAAACTAAAAATAAACTATAAATTAAGTACTGCATACCACCCTTAAACAGATGGACAAATAGAACGCATTAATTAAATCATTAAAATATACTTAAGATACTACATTAACTTTATATAAGATAATTAAGTAAAAAAATTACCAGTAGCATAATACTATTATAATAGCATACCTTTAGAATCTACAGAAATTACACCGTTCTACATAAACTATAGATTTACACCAGAAGCATTTAGACCACTATAAAAAGGACCTAACTCTAAAAAAGCAAGACTGCAAGCAGAATTAATAATTGATTTATATAAAGAAATACATATGCAACTTAAATTTATCTAAGATAAAATAAAGAAATATACAGACTAAGATAGAATTATAGAATTAATTCTCTAGAAGGGAGATATAGTTTATCTATTACAGCACTTACAAGGCTATAAATTACTAAATATTAAAACTAATAGGCCAAGTAATAAGTTAGACGTTAGAAAAATAAGACCTTATAAAATCCTTAAATAAATTGGAGAAGTTAATTATAAGCTAGCGTTACTAGATATAATAAAGCTTTAAAGCCTAGTGTTTTATATATTACAACTGGAAAAAGCATAAGTTGATAAACTTATGGGAAGACCTATTTTAAATAAAATTATTATTAAAGATAAAGAAGAAGAATATAAAATTGAAGAAGTACTTGCTATACGCCAGAACTCTAAGACTAATAAAATAAAGTACCTTATTAAATAGAAAGGATACTTAGAATTAAAAAACTTATGGGAACTAAAAGAATACTTTAACTCCCATAAGCTGATAAAGAAGTTCCTTTGGTCTGTAAGGTTAATGGATTAAAATCAGCCAGTATAGTGTTTTAATTAATTACGTCAACACCCCCGCTAAGCTAAATATTAATCACTACCTTTAACTTAGCACGCTCTGCTTTATTTAATTTATTAAGACTCTTTAGGCTGTAATTTACTATCTCTGCCCCTTAAGTTACTAAAGATTTACGTTAAGAACGGATATATAATAACTAAGATAAGGCCTCAGCGGCTTTTTGCTAATACTCAGCAAGCTGCTCAGCAGCCTCCTTTTCTTTCAAATATAATTATTTATGCTTAAAAGTTATATAATTTACTATATTATTAGAATAATAAGACACTGTTATTTTAGAAAATAAACTTATAAGCTAACAATAAAATACCCGTCCCATTATAAGAATGACTGCAATACATACACTCCTTGCAATGCATTACACTATCTATCATTTTGCAATAATTGCCCATGCTATAACGTTTACAGAAAGAATAAGCCATTACAAGAAATCTCAATTCTTTAATAGTAGCAGCTAAAGAAAGGCGCTTGCGTATTTTCCAGAATATTAGTTTAAATATACAGTTAGGCATTATAAAAATTACAAAAGGAGTCTAAAAGAAAAATTACTTTAGCAAGCTAATGCAAGAAGGGCCTCTTTATAGGCCTTAAGGACAAGATTAATAAAGAGGGGGTATTGTATTATAACCTAAATATTTATTTATACATTAGTTAAGCAAAAGTATGTACTCTAGGAGTAACTATAGACCGACGGACTAATTACAAAAGGATTACAGTTTACAGACATCCCTATTGGATCACCAAATGAGCCATCGTAAGCCTATGCAAAAGTAATCCAACCATAAGCCATCTAGAACGACTTACTATATAAGAACCGTTTATTATATTTATTAAATAGAACTTAAATAGTCAGTTGTTAATATAGCACTCTTAGATAATAATTAGATTGGTTATTTATAACCTCGTTAGCTATGTGACTGCATTGCTTATAAGACTCCAACTTATCTCTCTGCTAATATAAACCCGACGTTGAGTTTATAGATTGGGAACCTACCCTATACCTAAGTACGATAGTATAGGCCAGGACGTCACATAACTTTAGTAGCCTGGACACTGTTTTCAGGCTCTTTGATCCATTTTTCCAGAGTCATTCTGGTTCCATTGGGCCCTGGCACTGAAGATTCCTCCAGAAGGGGCGCGCTCCAAGAGCCCTCTGACCCCCATTATTACGTTAGCCAGCATAAAACCAAAAAGCTGTATATATGTAATAATCAACAACAGTAACTTACCACTGATTGCCGCAAAAAGACGATGGATAGAGTATTCGCCAGGCTTCATCTTCCGAGCCACAATATTTTCCTTGACGTTGGGATCACGAGCCTTGTTCTGCTCGTCTATAGTAGCAGGAGAATAAAAGTCATACGATTTTTCAAGCTCCGCCTTGGCTTTAATTGCGGCTTTAATTTGCTTGTCTGTTAAATTCTGATGTTCCGGGCTGGCAATCATATTATTCATGAAAGCAGAAACAGTCACTTCCCAGCCATCGAGCTTGATGGTGTTCTTTTCTCCTTTTCCAACAACTAAAATACCAGACTTAAAGCTATCAAGATAATTAGGGACAGTTCTCAGAAATAAAATGGCATAATATTTGGGGAACGGCCGTTGCGTACCGAACACGGAATAGCAGTTGAGGATTGTCAACATTTTGTAGTTGCAGGGTGACGCGAGGCGGGTCAAGAACAGCCGACAAATTGCCAGCTTTGATGTCACCCGTGAAATATTTGAGTTTTGCAATCTCATCACCGCGTTGGGCAAAGAGTCTCTCGAAATTTTTATTTATGGTGTTTTCCGAAAGAGCACAGATCTGGTGGTAATACTCGTTGGGCTTTGTCTCATCGGTACGGAGCGACACAGTGAATCTAGAGAGCGGAGCCATGCTGCCGGAATATAATAACTGCCTCAAGATGTACGTGAATGCGTATTTAGGGTTAATAGAAATGGGTTAACCTCAGCGAACTGGGTGGAAACCTGACATGCAAAGGGGAAAATCGTGAGATTGTCTGGAGTGTTTATGGGCCTTAAAAGAAATGGGGATGAGGAAATGGTCAGGGATTGCAATATTGTCAGTTTCACTGAGATCTCCAACGTCGGCCTGAGCGCTGTTGAATTCGTCAGCCGCCCAGCCCGAACAATATTGAAAATACTGCACAAGCCACATCATGGCTTGCTACTTGCATAAAGACCGTTCTAGCCTTTCGGCTTTGATCTAGTAACTTCAATAGTTTGCCTCTTTAAGAACAATATATCATCCTAAGGCACTATCACCAGTAGTTCAGCTGCTGTGGCGACTGCCCAGTGGTCTAGTAGGATCCGGTCTCGGAAACTTGGCAATACTCAGCTATGTCTTGCCCTGCTTTAGTACCGGGGTTCGGCACCCCGTCTAGATTGGGACTCTGGTGACGGGCCGCAGGGGCGGGCCGAGACTTCTGCGAAGACTATACCATATTAGTGAGGACAACTAACAGTGGGGCGAAAGAGGCCAGGGTTTCCAATTTGTGGGCGCCCGATGCTGGCACAGTGCGGAAGAGCTTTGACCCGAATCAGGGGGTATGAGGAGTAAAACTGAATACACCCCTCCAGCTGGAGCGAGTCTCGAGGCGGACTAACTAGACCGAACGGAATAAATTCATATGGGTAGCGTTACAGAGAATTATCATAACCAATTCTCCCAGTCTCATGAAATAATACCTTTTTATGGGCAAAAGGTTTCCTCACTGTGTATTGGGGCTTCTGAATATCGGATCAATACACACATACTAAGTGGAATATACACTTCACCAAACATTCTCCCCCTTTGTTGTTCACAACATGGCAACTCTCACAGCCATTAGCTTTTTCTCTCATCCTCAGATTGCCACTTTTCTCGAAAATGGACTAGATGATGGTGCCAAGAAAGTACTGAAAGAAAAGAAAAACGATAATGCTTTTTCCACGCAAACACCGATTGAAGTCCTGGATCATGCTCTACGTGGCGGCAATGCCTCTTCGGAGTCTATTTATCTCTTCCAGTTCCTAAAAAGTCTATGTGCCTACTGCATTGATGCTGCTGATGTTGCTGACCCGGACCTGGGTGGCTTAGGTACCGTGGCTCTGGCTATCTGCGGATGGTTGTTAGAAAGGTTGACAGCAAGCAAGCCTAACAAGCTGAACGACCGGCTGGTTGAGTTGTTATTTCCTCGGTACAATTTAGACACCCTTGTAAACTTGAAAGACAATGCAGCGGCTGCAGCTCCGACTGGGGCACTACTCGAGGAGACACCTAATCTACCACCGAAAGAGCTCACAGCTGCTGTACTAGACCGTTTGCGTGGCGATGTGTTCAATAGAGAGCCTTTGCGAACCATCAATCGTCTTGTAGCACAGGGAAAATTTGAGACATCTATCCCCGTCTCGATTGCTGCTGGAGTTCAGGCTATCCTGTCGACTATGACGGAGGAGGCTGTCAATATCGGCAGTCCAGATCTCCTTGCTCGAGCAGCCACTCGCATCACCACCTTCACCAAGGGCCAGGATGTAAAAAAAGGGTTACCAGAAGCTTCAGAAGTTGTTCAGTCTCTGAAAGGCCTCGCTCGTATGACCGAAGACCCAGAAGATATTCCCATCATATATGGCCGGCGATATCGTACCATTCGGCAAGTCACTGAAGCCGACAAGGAGAACTGGATTATGCAAATGGTAAAGTATAAAATGAAGAAAGAGAATGCTCTGAAAGCATATGATTGTGCGGAGCGTATTGAATGCTGGAACGAAAACCTCTGGCTCAGTCTTATGCACTCACGAAGAGCCAAGTATACGAACATTGCGGCTCGCGAGATCCAGCAGATGGAGCAGGACGAAGAGGACGACGAAATATCTGTGACAGCTCAAAGCAATCTCACAGATATTTTCAAACTTGAAGACTTGGCCTGTGAAACGTGTTGCTCTGTAACTAGCTTGTCCGCGTACTATGCAGATTTGCTCAGTTTGTTGCGCTCCACAGTTCATGGATCTACTGATCTGCTGGAGAGTCTTCGACTACGAAGACCCGACCTAACCAAGTTGCAACTGACCTGTGCAAACGCACAAACCCTGATACCTTATGTCAGTCTCGTCAACGAGGTTTTGGAGTCATTTATAGCGTTCAACACCACCGCTGGCTACCGCTACGACAGTGTTCTGGCTTTCAACACCCCTGACAATGGTGGTCACAACCACTCAGATGCTGCAGTGTACCGTCCAGGGAACACTAATGCCAAGGTGTATGAGGAAATTTCTAAGCAAATGTTTCCCTTCTCCGACTTTCCATATAATCAGGCTCGAGATGCAGTGGCTCAATACTTTACCACATTCCGCGTGACCATGCTGGAGCTCATCACTACGTTCCAAGCGACAGAGCTGGTTTTGCGTGATATTCCAGCCTCAATTCTAACCTCCTCGGGTGAAGAGGCTGAGAAAAGACGCTTACGCATTGAGTCGGGCGTGTGCGAAGTTATGGAGCGGCATCGTGCGGCAGAGAGACTCGGCATGCAACTGGCAGACTTTGTCGCCATCACCGGCGAGACTTTTTACCCTGCTTGGTTCGCCGAATTGGTCATGGGTCTATCTAAGAGCAAGCTGGAGATTGATACGGGTTGCCCTTGGACCGCTGCTGATCTCTGGGGCTATGATGCAGCTGTCTTTATGAGGAAGATGCAGGTTGAAGCGACAAAGGCGAAGGTTGATGGCACTGTGACTCCAGTTAGTATTACTCCTGTCATGGGAGCAGCAGCGGCTCGAAAGGCTCTGCTAGATCCTCAGAAGGGACTTTCGAGAATCAAGAAACAGCTGATGCGACGATCGGGACTCACATTCCAGAATATTTTGGACTTGGTCAAGACGCAGTGTTTTGGCCAGCACCTGGTTATCACCAATGAAACAGGCTCTGATGAGTTCACTAACTCCCTTGAAGAACTCCGTCTCCTGTCCAGCGCTGCTGAGCCGCCTTTCAAACCTCTCACTGAAGAACTTGCCTTCTCCATGCAATCTTTCATGAGAGTCCAGGCCAAGCTTGGGTGGTCGGTCAAGCAAGTCGATGCTGCAGTTGTCTGCCTTCGTAACGTTGAGATGGCGACAAGTCCGCACGCCACACGTACAAGCAACAGCACTAACGTAGGTCCTTCAAGAGAGCTCATATCCATTACACCATTTGTTCTTAAGGGTCTCGCTGCCGTCGTGACACTTAGTGAGCTTAGTGACATCGAACCTGCGGCAATACTGGCCCTTTGGGGACCTATTGACACATACGGCGAGGATTCACTCATGCATCGCAAGTTCCTTACTCCTGCAGCCGCAGAGGTAGACAAGTTGTTTGCTTCTCCCGTAGCTAAGTCAGGAACCCGGAGTAAACTTAGCGACTACTTCAAATTGAGTCAGGGACCTAACAAAAAGCCCATGGCTCTTCCCTTGAGTCTACACAAGGCCGGCATTTGTGTGAGTCTTGACTGGCCCATCGAGTTCTTTGATGATCTGCTAGCGGCTAGCGAGCAGAAAGACAAGGATCTCGATGTCATTACATTCTCAGCATTATATCGACATGTCTTGTTATGCAGGATACTATCTATACCTCCAACACAATCCCGTGCTTTCTTCAGCCTGTTCTTTGTTACCGGAGGGAAAGCAGCCTTGGCTGATCCTGGGTCTATTGTGACTGTGATCCAGCAATGGAAAGCACTGTTTGATGCTGGTTGGACAGTGCCCACTCTTTCAGCCGTGCTTTTGGCATCCAATGCCTCGCCCTCTGCACAAGTAGCGATCACTGGTCTTCCAACAGCGGTATCCATTCTCGAAGGTGCGAAGAACATTCGCAAATCGGTGCCTTTCGTCTCAGCATCAGGACAGACTGCAGTCAATGGCACATCAAACGGCAGTGAGGTAGCCACCGCCCTCAATGTTGCCGATTGTGCAGCTCGAACTTTTGATTCAGCTACGGCTCCAACTGTAACTGAGTTCATTGAAGGCACCAAAGCCCAAGTCAGGCGAGTTTCTATTGGAGTCTTTGATAAGTTCGACAATCTCGCCATCGCCGCTGCGGGACTCTCATACAAAATTACATTTACTCCTGAGATTGACCTCAATGGTAATGTTGTCGTTGAGTTGCAGTTGATTGGTATCTTGTCACAGGGCGAACTCGAGAAGTCTGAGTCGCTCGTCATTAAAGACCTCCCAGTTGATAAGACCACCGACATCAAGAATGCAATCCTTGAGATGGCGACTGAAGCAATCCAAGTGCGATCCAAAATTGAAACACGCTTTGGTAGTGAAAAATACGCAGTTAGCGATCTATCTAAGGATTGGCCCGAAGTCATAGCCAAGAAAGAGGATGAAGGAGCGCTTCTTTCAGAAGTCGCAATGCAAGTTCGTAAACGACGACAGGCATTTGTGGAATTGGCGGGCCCAACAATTATCCAAGATCTACTAGAAGCATTTATACTCAATGTTGTGAAAGAGCTTGTGCCAGATCTGGATGTGTCGCTTGTGGCTGTCATCATCTCACGCATTGCACGTGTTACTTCGCCTTCCGACAAAAATACGACTCAGTCTGTCATGACAGCCATGAAATTGCTAAGCGAATCTACTGATAAGCCGAGTAACGAACCTCTGAATGCCTATTTCACACCCAACTCAACAGATATCTTCACCCTCCACTACACGGGAGCACTGACAAATCAGCTCCCGACGCTATTAGTCAACGGTATATCAATATCTTACAACCCCAATTCCAAGTCTTTCATGAGCACTCGTATGAGAGGTGGTCAAGCATATTTGCTGGTGGCCAACTTCGCAGCGTCACAGCTCCAGTGGTCGACCCCAAAGATTCTACCAACGGACATGAACGAAAAGATGATGATCTCATCAGCCATTACGGAGCGTGCTTCTGAGATCAACGCTGCCATTCTACGCGTTGTAAGCATATGTAGAGCCATGTCACTAACTGCTGAAGAGCTCGGATTCTTCTCCAGTGCCTTGCAAGCTCAAGAAATTCAAAAGGCTCAAGAGAATGGATCATCATTGAGGCAAATGCTAGCCCTTGACTTAAATGCGCCATCACTCAAGGATCTTGTTCAGCTCAATAGGTATTGCAACCTAAGACGGAACACTTCTCCACCTACTACAGAGTCACAAGGCAACCCTCTCCTAAGCATGTTGTCTTGGCTGAGCACTGAGAAGAGTGCAACCTTAGATCAGATTGCATCTCACATCAATGCCGGCACCGGATGGGATAAAACAAGGATTGCTGCATGTCTGAGCGCCAAGGACCCTGACATTAAGGATACTGACATGACTGTGAGGATATCTTCTCTGCGTGATGTTGATTCCATCTACAGACTACAAGCAATTATGGAGGTGGATGACAATTTAGGCAGAGCGTCTGGTGGCTTGGCCTCGCAACCCAGTATGGCAACACTTTTTACTCTTTCTCAGCCTCCAAAGTTGCTATCAGCAAACGTCTCAAGTATAGCACGCAGTCTTCAAACACGACTCATGCCAGACCAGCGCGCGGAGACTGATAATCGGCTCATGGAGAACCAGAGACGTGCATTGGTTGCATATCTTCTTCAGCAACCATATGTTCGAAAGGATCTCAAAATTTGGGATGCCGACGGCTTGTTTGAGCACTTCTTGATCGATGTCCAGATGGGACCTAAATTATCCACTTCTCGTATCAAGCAAGCTATCTCAGTCATTCAGCTGTTTGTCCAGCGATGTCTACTTGGGATGGAAAAGGGTGTACCCAAAACTTGTATTGTACGAGCCAAGTGGGACTGGATGCGTCAGTATAGTCTCTGGGAAGCCAACCGCAAACTCTTCCTATATCCCGAAAACTGGTTAGACCCAGCTTTCAGAGACGACAAGAGTGATCTATTTGAGAATTTCGAAGCCAGCCTGATGCAGAAAAACCTCAGCATCACGACCTTCGTGGAGGGTATTCGTACGTATGTTACTGGCCTCAATGTGATTTCCAACCTCGAGATCGTTGCCTACGCTCACGAGCCGACAACCAAGGTTTCGGATAGCTTCCATATATTTGGACGTACACGTGCCGCGCCGCACCAATTCTATTACCGCAGTCTGATTGTACAATGGTCAGATGGTGGACGATTATGGAAGCCTTGGTCTAAGATCGAGATTGATATCCCCTCTGTCGAGTCAGGTTGGGATGGCTCACGTTTGAACAACTCGGGGGCTTATCTACTGCCTGTCATAGCTGGCGGAGGCCGCTTATATCTATTTTTGCCTCAGGTCGTCCCTCGAACACTGGACAGAAAGCAAGACCCAAATCAAAAGCTTGACAAGTTCGAAGATTTACGTAATACTGAAATCAAGACGATGGCTCCACGACGCATCTGGGAAATCACTATGTCCTGGACTGAGCTGGTCAATGGCTACTGGTCACCAAAGCGCATGTCTCCTGGTAGTGTAACTATCGAATCTCCTATGATGCCAGAGGCGAGCAAGTTCCGTGTTGATACAATCCAGAGCTCGAAAACAGGGCCTGTAACTCTTCTTGTTAGCTATACGAATTCTGACGATGGCCATGCTACCGTGGTCGGCCATTTCATCTTCATATCTGACCAAATCAGTGCTCTTGATCTGACTACAGGTGAATCTTCAAAGGCCGGTCTCGCTCTAGATCGCAGGCTTCCTACTACCTTCCAGCAGATCAGCGTTAAGGTCGATACAACGACAGATAAGGCCACAGACTACAGCAATATGTCCTTGCCAAAGCAGACAACCACCGTCGCCAAGACTCCTGAGAACGAGGGGACGTCGAAGCTGGCGTTGCTTGCTTGGGTCCCTACAGCACTTGATGAACTTAACAGAAGTTCTATAGACAAGAAGAGAAAGGTTCCTGAAGGACAGAAAGACGTCACGGAACTCACTTGGACTCTAGCCATGGATTCCAAGGAACAACGGCTCACTGGCCTAGCGGTGAGCGCAAAGCACTCCAACGGCACAAATAGGACTTACTTCAACGTTCCAAGAGACGAGTTGCGCAACATATGGTGGACAGCCAATAATGTACGCGACAAGATGGATACCGTAGTAGTGGACCACATCTCCGCTACTACTCTGATGGAGGCGGCTGTGAACCCAACTAACCCGTTACAAAGCGTCTATAACGAGCTTGTATCCACGGCTTCATCAGGTGGATTGGAAGCCTTTGGTGCGTATGACAACAGAGTCTGCCACGAACTAGGGCAGCCAAGTGCTCTATACAACTGGGAGCTTGGTTTGCACGTTGTTATGCTCGCTATGGACCGGTTCCACGCCACTCAACAGTTTGATGAAGCTCTCCAGGTAGCTCGACTTGTTTTTGATCCAACCGTCGACGTCGACGTCGAGAGGTTGATCAAGAGTGTGGCTACCAAAGCCGCCGATGGCAAGGTTCAGGTTGGCTTTGAGGTCGTTGTATCGCCTCTAGATGCCAGTGCGCATGCGCTCTCGCCGAAGGAGGGCGAAACTGTAACACTTCAAGTCCTCAAGCATCCTGCCGGTTCGGCATGGCGATTTCCTCCATTCCAGGACATTGCCAGAAGGATTGCGGCAAATGAGAAACAGAGCAAAATACCTCCAAGCTTTGATACCAATAGCGAGCTGCAGACGGCAATTTTAGAACGCCGCTCCCATGGAGCACTTGTCCATGCGACTGCTCGAGGCCGACCCGAAGCATACATGAAATGGATCATCATGAAGTACGTCGATATCCTCGTTGCCAGCGGCGATGTACACTTCCGCGTGGCTACGTTGGAGAGCCTACCTTTAGCAACTCAGCGTTATATCGAGGCCACGCATGTCCTTGGGCCGGAACCTCCAAAGATCAATCGATTCGATGACAACAAGAGCACTGGTCGGAACTCAAGCTTTGAGCAACTTTCTTTTGGTCGTGAGCCGTGGACGTTTGAGAAGCTGTATCGAGAGAACATGAAATTCGACATCAACCTTCCGTTTTCGCCAGAGTTGGCTCTGATCAAGGGTGCCCCTCAAAACGTGAATAAAAACAAAACTAAGGAGAACGTTGTTGGATTTCTGCGTACTCCATACTTCGGAGTGCCACTAAACCCAAAGTTTAGACAGGTGCGCAGCGTTATCGAACAGCGTCTTTTCAATGTCCGGAACAGCCTAGATATCGATGGTCGTCCCATTACCTACGCTGTCATTGAGCCGTCTATCGATCCAGGGGCACTTGTGGCATTGAGTGCACATGGGTTCGATAACGCGAGCGCGGCAGCCATGGTTATGGGGGATAGAGACAGTCCTCTACCTCGTCAACGCTTCGATTTTCTACTCCATCGTGCTCTAGAACTTTGCGGGGAGGTTCGAGCCCTGGGTGAGCGACTAGTCAGTGCCATTGAAAAGAAGGAATCGGAAGCATTTAGTGTGTTGAGAGCGCAACATGCTACCTCCATTCAACGCATGATGCGAGGTATCAAGGAGACGCACTTGACTGAGGCTCAGCAAACCATAGATTCGCTACAGCTCAATCGTGATTCGGCCGTGTCTCAGCTGGCCTACTATCTAGCTTTGATCGGAGAGCCAGAGTCGTTGATTCCCAAGATCAAAGACTCATGGAAGGACCTGAAGCAGGACATTGGCAAGCCAACACAGGATGATCTACGTATGTCAGAGCATGAGGAGTACGAAATGGACATGGCCACCGCGGCCATGGTCTTGAATGTTGTCTCAGCCGGTATTGACGCACTTGTCGCGCCTTTCTGCATGGTGCCATCCGTGTCTATCAATGCTATGCCAATGGGTGTCGGAACTACTGTAGCAGCTGGTGGAGGTAGCAACATCGCCACTTGCATGCAGGCCGGATCGGCGGCCATCAAGATGGCTTCTATGGTGGTAGCGGAGCAGGGGGCTCAAGCTGGACGCAAGGCTCAGCTAACACGTCAACTCCAGGATCGTCGCATGCAGGCTAACATGCGCGGTCGCGAGATCAAGAGCATTGACAAACAAATTGAGATCCAAAGCACGCGTGTCAAGGCGGCACAACAAGAGCTCCAGCTACAGGAATCAGAGGTTGAGGAATCAGCGCAGGTTGAGACTTGGTTACGAAACAAGTACACGAACGAACAGCTGTACGGCTGGGTTGAGAAGAGTCTTCGTAACCTCTACTTTCAAGCATATACTCTGGCCTTGAGCACCGCACGCAGTGCTGAGAGCGCTCTATCTTTTGAGAACGGTTGCAAGCCATCCATTCTTCGGCCTGGCGGCTACTGGGACGCTTCTAGAGATGGTCTGCTGTCTGCTGACCATCTCTATCTAGATCTCAAGAGGCTTGAGGCAGCCCATCGCGATGGACGTCGACACGATTATGAGGTCACCAAGACCATCTCGCTGCGTCAAGTTGACCCCATGGCTCTCATGCGTCTTCGTATTTCCGGCAGCACGACTTTCTCGCTGAATGAAATGCTCTTTGATATGGACTTCCCAGGTCATTACATGCGTCGTATCCGCTCTGTGGCTGTCACCATCCCCGCTGTTGTCGGTCCTCACACCGGCGTCAACGCGACATTGACTCTGCAACAGCACAAGTACCGCGTGCTGCAAACAGCATCTACAGCCGATGAATATGCCTCATCGTGGTCTAGCATCTCTGTCGGCAACGACGAAGCCTTCCGCACTGACCGCGTACCCATTTCCGCCGTGGCCATCAGCTCGGGCGCACATGACACTGGTGTCTTTGAACTCAACTTTGCCGGGGATCGTTACCTGCCATTTGAAGGAGCTGGCGTAGTCTCTTCCTGGAGGATTGACTTACCTACCAAGGTGCGCCGCTTTGACTATGACAGTATCGCGGATGTGCAGTTGCATTTGCAATACACATCTCTTGAGGGTGGCGCTTGTCTCCGAGGCGCCGCTAACGGTGCCGTTGAGAATGCACTCAAAGCTGTTGATAACTCCAGTGCTAACCGTGACAACGGACTATGGTTTATGTGCAGTTTGAAGAATGACTTTGTTAACGAATGGTACGGGTTCAATAGCCAACTGGCAGCGGCCAAAAAGGATAAAGCTGCAGGAGCGGGTGACCGAGTTATAACGATGAAATTGGGCGACCTCTATGAACGACTTCCATTCTGGGCTCGGGATCGTGGTACTGCTGATGCTAAGGGCATCACATTGGTGTCTAAGAGTACGGGACTGGTCAACGCGATGACCGTGTCAGTGGCTAAGGGCAAGTGGGATTCACAATCAATTTCAGGCTGGCAGGTTCGATCACAGAACAAGCTTCAGAAACCTGAATGGAAGGGATGGGAGTTTAGTGTGACGGCCAAGAACCTCAAAGAGAGTGATAAGATTGAAGATGTCTACATGTTGGTCCGCTATGGCAAGATATCGACAAAATAGGTCAAACTGGGCGTAGTGAGGGAGTAGAGTTTGTATAACTATCACAAAGTGGTTAATTAACTTATAAAAAAAAACATAGTTCATCCCAGTGTCAAGAAACTCATGGAAATGGCAGCAACTTCTGTTCTGAATATTAGCAACCTCGCCACTGGTTGTCAATATTTTTATAACTCATTTTAGTGAGCAGTAACATTAACTTTTGTCTCTACTTATCTGAGGCACATTTTTAAATCCACCTATTTATTAATACTTTACTTGTGAATGAGTTGATCAAAAGACACCGACACTAGCACAACATACTTGAGTGTACAATACTGTTATCTTGACTGATGTCTAGGATATTGTTAGACCCACGCCTAGAGACAGTGTAAAAATCTTCCCTCATACTGTACCTGCCTCGTCAATGAGCGCACGGTCCATCATTAGGTCTCCAGGATGTGTTTAGCACTATTGAATTACCATCATCGAAAGATGGGTCACATTGATGCGAGCAAAGTCAGACATAGTATGGTCAACTTACACCATTTGCTCTAGTCACTACAGGGGCATTAGTATTCCTAAATCCTGGTCGTGGGTTTACTCTGGGCCAATATCCGTATAATTACTGTAGTCCTGACCATTCCTAGATTCGGCGCATGTATATGCTAGTGTCGTGTATATAAGTCCGAATGAACCTAACCACTTTCATAGAAATACCCAGTTTAATATTCAATAGTTTAAAGCGTACTCTATGATATGTAAACACCCTGGCGGCTTCACTTGTTTGTGGTCCCATGACCCTCTAGACCCCAAGCTTGAGGCTGAACCTGACTATGCACCTCATTGGCTCGGTCGTAACGGCATATCAGCTGGCCAGCTGTCATGACTAATTCCTTCTTATTCCATTTTCGGTTTATTTGAATGACTCAGGAGAACCACTTCGTGTACGGTTTAATGTAGATCATGAATTAGCTTCGGCGATGGCAGCTCTCAAGGTCGATGTGCCGTGCCGCTTGGATCCCATTCTTTTAGTCGATTAGATAATTCGAGCGTTTAGCTCCATGATTAGCCGAGCCTCATATCGGTATAGCCCGGGTTGTCCCGTCATTACAGTTGCACACCTTCCCTGTCCTTGTAGAGTGCCTCCATCACCACTGGTTAGGTTTATCCACGCCACCCAACAAGGATTCCCTGCATTAATACCATGCATCGTAGCAAGCTGAGTGGCCAAATTTGGCAGATCTATGTTTTCAGCTATCCTGAAATAACCTGACTTGATCTGACGGAGGCATCAGCTGAAACTCCCCTACCTGTTCTGGACCGAAGTAGTCGTAATGCCTCATACCTCTTTAGGAACCTAAATTTTCAGTTGTGGTCGGGCTAGGGGTTTTTGCTTTTGGGCTGGGTCCCTTAGGATTTGGCAACCCGATATCCTACTCCTCAGTTGACTCGTCTAGATGGGGCATCTATACGCCCGCCAGATGTCCCCCTGCTACCAGCAACAGTGGTAGATGAATCATGAATACATCCTACACTCCTCTCATCTCCCAGGCAAAAAGCTAGTGCACTCGCCAGTAATTGTTTCATTTAAAATTTTTAACCTTCCTCAACTTTCTGTAAAGACAAGCTAGCACGATCATGATGGATCCAACAAGTCGCCCAAATACATTTGCAGCGCGACCTACAGCTCCGTCTACCACCACTTCAACCTTCACTACTAGCAAACCGTTTTTGCCAACTACAGAAGTAGTAAAACCTGAGGGCAGCAAGGGTGTTGGAGATGGAATTCCAGGCTTCACGTCGTCCTTCAACACCTCTGGGAAGAGCGGAGGTGCCATCCGCCCCATTGGCGAGAATTTCTCCGTCAATCCAGCCAACGGTACACTCTCGTTTAGTCTGCCCATCAATACCTCACCAAGCCGAGGTGGGTTCGGGCCTAATTTGGCTCTTTCGTACGACTCTGGGAGTGGCAATGGGCCCTTTGGCTTTGGTTGGAGTGTGCATCTGCCTGCCATCCAACGCAAGACCAGCGATGGAGTCCCGACCTATAGGGTTGGCGAAGACGAATTTGTATTTGAAGGCAGTGAACTCGTCCCATGGATTGATGAGAAAGATGTTGTTGTCAAAAAGATCGGACATCATCATGTGATGCGATATCGACCTCGTTTTGAATCTCACACTACACGCATTGAGAAATGGACACGTGACAATGACTCTACAGATGTACACTGGCGTACCATATCAGGAGGCGTCACATCAATATTTGGCCTGGATGATATGTGTCGCATAGTTGACAGCTCACAGTCTTCAAAAGACATCTTTTCCTGGCTGCTCTGCCGCTCCTTCGACACTTTCGGAAATGCAATCGAATACGTCTACAAACCAGAGGATGGTGCTGGGTTGGAAGACATACCCCCGTGGGAGGCAAACCGGTCGACAAATGCTAAGTTACGGCAAAGGTATATTAAGCGTATTAAGTATGGAAATCGAAATCCTAATCGAGACATGGAGACCTGGGAGCCTACTGAATGGCCAAGCAAAGACAATGATTGGATGTTTGAGGTTGTATTTGATTATGGAGAACATCAACTCGCTCACAATGGAAAGGCGGCTAGTTTTGCTGAAAACCAGACATGGGATGTTCGCAAAGATTGCTTCTCAGCATCAAACTCAGGGTTTGAAGTGCGCACGTATCGTCTTTGTCGGCGTGTTCTTATGTTCCACCGCTTTCATGAACTTCGGCCCGGGTCAGGGCAGCCAAGCGAGGTTTTGATTACTTCAACCACATTTTCGTACAGAGAAAATGCATTCGGTTCATTTCTCACTGAGACTTTCGTGAGTGGTCATGAACTTTCCGGCATGACGTACAAGACACAAAGCGTGCCTCCTTGGACATTTTCCTACAGTCAATGTCCTGACCCACAGACACTAAAAAGGTTTTCGGCAAGTGCCATAAATCTAGTAGACCTTCCATCAATTGGCTTGTGGCAGTCTGAGTGGATTGACCTTGACGGCGAGGGTCTACCTGGTCTCTTGCTGCGGCTTCAAGATGGCACACTGTCCTACCAGCGGAATGTCGGTGGATCGCTTTCCTTTGATTCATCTGTTTCCTCAACAAACGGTTCCGAACCGGCGACATCTGAGTGCTCATTTCTGCTTGATCCTCAGGTGCTAAGGCAGCAGCCAACCCCTGGGTTAGTCAAGGGAAGCAACTTTCTAGATTTAGACCGAAATGGACGTCTTAATCTAGTTTTCAAAGACCCTAAAGGTGTTCCCTGCGGCTTCTATGAGCGCATTGCCGAGGAGGATACGTGGAGCAAATACTGCGAGTTCCCAGAGACGCCAAATTGCAATATACAGCAGCACCAGCAGCCTGATTTCGTTGTATCCATTGACCTTACTGGTAATGGGAGCGCTGATCTTCTCTTCTCAATAAATGATAGTCAGGATTTAATGTGGCAGAAATCATTGGGAAAGGTCGGCTTCGCGGCCCTAAAATGCACATCTACGAATCTTGAGACTTCATCCTACTCGCCGAGGTTGACTAACTCGAATGAAACGAAGACGTACGTTGCTGACATGACCGGAGATGGACTTTCCGATCTTGTTGAAATCTCCGCAAATCGGATCGCATATTGGGCAAATCTCGGACATGGTCGTTTTGCTTCCATGGTCGAGATGGGAAATCCCCCTATCCTTGCATCTCAGGAGAGCTTTGAACAGGAAAGAGTTAAACTTATCGATGTAGATGGAACCGGTACAACAGATCTTTTATACATCTTACCTGGCGGCGGAGCTCATCTTTACTACAATTTCTCGGGAAATCAGTGGAGTGACCGCATACTGATTCGAGGCATCCCCCAACTCTCCTCGCCCTTGAATGCATTCGTGTTGGACTTGTTTGGCCAGGGGACAGCGCTGCTATGCTGGGCAGATACAACAATGTCTTCCACTGGGACTGCAGACACGATTCACTATTTGGATCTGATGGGTGGCCAAAAACCGCATTTGTTATCCGGCTATGCAAACAGTCTTGGCAGTACAACATCAGTAGTATATGCACCATCTACAAGCTACTTCTTGAAAGATTGTAGGGAAGGTAAACCTTGGACCACTCGGCTACCCCACCCTGTGCAATGCATTGCCTCAGTTGACCACCACGACCAAATCACGGGTAATTCGTCTACCGTACGGTACATGTACCACAATGGGTACTATGACTACTTCGATAAGCAATTTTCAGGCTTCGAAATGGTCGAAGAGTGGTACAGTGAGCGCATCATAATAGGACCCAAAGAAGTCTACGAGCCACCTGAAGTGCATAAAAAGTCTTGGTTTTGTGTGGGCCAGAGCTTGGCCATCGATACTCAACACTTCTTCCCACATTATGCAGCCCCAAGAGTTGCTTCTTCCATTTCAACAATGGGCACCCACGAGAACGAGTTAGAAGGACTTAGAGCACTTAGGGGGACACTAATGCGCTCCGAGATGTACGGCTTGGATGGGTCTCCAAGGCAAACTGTGCCGTACGCAATTGACGAACAGGCATATGAAGTCTCACAGATCCAGAAAAAGGGTGCTAACAAATATGCTGTGTTTCAAATGTCACCCCGCGAGTCGGTCTCAACACAGCTCGAGCAGAGACTAGATGATCCACGCGTTACACATGAGATTGTTCTTGAGATCAATGACTATGGCAGTGTCGAGAAGTCACTCCGTGTCGTCTATCCTCGTCGGACCAAGGCAGCTTCTCTATCGTCAGATACAAACCCAGTATTTTCTGATGTGGTAGATAATCAATCAAAGGGAAATGTGTCTTTCTCTCGATGCTGGTATACTAATGCAATTGACTGGTTTACAGATCCAACCCACCCCCAAGGATATTATCGTACCCCGTTACCGTGGCGTCAGCAAGATTGTGAAATTGTTCACATGTCACTTCCCCAGCCACACGTTTCTATCCTTGAAATCGATCAAGTCCGTCTTATCAATTTTGAGGAATTCCCTTCAGTTGATACACTTGGGAAGCTATATAAACAGGCTAAAGCCTTACGATCCGAAACGAAGACTTTCTTTAGAAACTCCGATTTATCACAACGATTGTCTGCTGGCAAGATAGAGGCGATGTCACTACTGGACCAGACTTATCAGTTGGCTTTCACTCCTGAAATACTAGAGAAGATCCAAACTGGCCGATCCACGTGTGGTATCGTTCGCTCGCCAAAAGAGCTGGCCACAGCCCTCTCCATCGGTGGATATGCTGATTTAGATGACGATGGCTGTTGGTGGGCAGTCTCTGGCCGAGCACTGTTTCAACAACCGTCACAATCAGATGTTCCTTCGAGGAGTGAGCTGATGCTAGCACGTTCTTCGTTCTACACGCCTACAGTTATGGAGGATGCTTTCAAGAATGTATCATCCATCGCACTAGATACCTACTGGCTCATGGCAGAATCGTCGACCGACGCGATGGGGAACATTATGCATTTCAAAAACGACTACCGTGTACTCCAGCCAATCAAAATCACAGATGCCAACCAAGTTTCTCAGCAACTTGTATACGATGAACTGAGTAACTCTATTACCACAGCCCTAAAGGGACCCACTGGAGACGAATTAGATTGCGACAGCTTAGACGGTTTTGTGACATCAGTTAGCGACAGCGAAATCGCTGCCGTGCTCTCAGACCCGAGTGGCGATGCAACAAGGCGGCTTCTGGGAAATTCGAGCAGCCGAACACTAGTCTGTTTAGACCAGTTCAGCAAGTCTCAGTTGCAGAAGATCAATGACTCTAACGAAGAGACCAAGATTACTCCATCATTCAGTGTCTCCATATCACGGGATCTCCCCTACCGGCGGAGCTCCTCTCCCAAGCTTATGGTCGTTGTATCACACTTGGACGGAGGAGGAAATGTTGTTCAGACCGCGACTTTGGCTCACCCTGATGATCCAAAGAAAAAATGGCTGATTAGTGGTATCTCGGCCCACGACAGCAGCGGAAATGTTATTCGAGCTCTTGAATCAATCTTCTCCACGTCTCCGGCCTATTCCTCTGCGGCTACTCCTAACTCTTCGACGCTGGCTCCTGTCAATACCAATTTCTTCGATGCATGTGGGAGAAGTGTAGGTACCCTGTTTGCCGAGCATACCTGGACGAAAACAGTCATTGGGCCTTGGGCATCGCTCGAGTACAGTACAAATGATACACTTCTTTGCCAATTGCCGCAAGAAGACCCGAATCTGGGTGTATACTTTTTGCGTCTTTCTTCGACGAGCTATCTTCCCATCTGGGCCGATTTGCAGCAACAGAGTGTGCTCAGAGGGTCTTCTTCCTCGGCACTCGCGATTAAAAAGTCATTAGCATACGCTGAAGTATCTGCACCGTCCATCACACACTATGGCGCTTGTGGTCTTCCTGTGAGGCACGTTCAGGTGGCAGGGGACAAGACATACACTCGTTCATATGTCTACGACTATTCCGGTAACCGAATCCGCGATTTTGATAGCAGTAACCGGCTGGTAGAGAAGCGTATTCATGACTTCATGAACAGACCGCTTCAATCCTCAGGTATGGACACTGGCGAGAAATGGGCGATACCTGACGCGTCCGGCGCCAGCTTCTTTTCTTGGAACAGCAAAGGCATATATTTTGAACTCAAATACGACTGTCTCCGGCGAGGCAAAGAGAAGCTAATGACGGACTATCGACAAATGCCAACTAAATCCATGGTAGTTATAAAAACTGTATATGGAGATGATTGTGGTGGTCTGGGACCGGCTTACAGCAAAGGCAAAATATGGAAGGTCCTTGATCAATCAGGTATAAACACTAACATGGAATTTGACATTCGTGGGCGCTGTGTGAGGAGCCACTACGAACCAGCGACCGAGTACAAAGTAATTCTTGACTGGCAAACCGAGCACACCGTTCAGTTAGAAACTGATGCACAATTTGTTCATACATCAACCTTCAACAACCTAGATCAATGCTTGGAAGAGTCTGACTCACAAGGGAACCGCACCAGGCGAGTTCATAACCTTCTTGGCCAAGTAGAGAGAGTCGACTATTCCCATCATTCTTCAGTTCGCGAACCGAACTGGGTACCCTATCTCAAAGAGAGCAGCTTCAGAGCGGATGGTCTACCCGAGAGGAACAGGTATGGCAACAATGTTGAAGTCGTGTTCAAATATGACGCAATGTCGAAACACCTTATTTCCAAGAAAACGACCCGGCCTACAGCATCTGGAAGCATAGAAACATTCCAAGACTTTTCCTATACATACGACTGTCGATCTCGCCAAGTTCATGTCAAAGACTCTTCTCAACAAGCCAAATTTTTCTACAACTGCCGCGTCGACCCTGAGTGGGAATATACCTATGACACTGTTGGTCAACTCATTGAAGCCACTGGGAGGGGGCAATTGACAACTGAGCAAGGCCAGGCCGTTCAGTTGCAACCCTACAGTGCCAATACAGGAAATAAACCACTGAGTAAAATCACAAATGGGGACAGGCTCTACAAATATCTGGAGACATACAAGTATGATATTGATGGAAACATGCGTTCCATAACCCATTCAGCGCCAGATTCAACGAAGGTTACAGGCTGGACACGTAAATTTCTGTACAACGAGAGGAGTCTTCTGAGTCCGAGCGATCAGAAGGTGGCCAACAACCAACTCAGTAAAACATTCGTCGGTGAAAGGCCTGACAGCGGTGAGAGGTACGCATATGACCAGACCGGGTGTATGACACACCTACCGCAGTACTCACATCTTCGATGGGACATGAACGACATGTTAGCCGCATCCTCCACTCAGAAAGTTGATGATACCAAAGGAATTCCAGAGATGACATACTACGTGTACGACTCCTTTGGGAACCGTGTGCGAAAGGTGACAGAGTCTGGTGCATCCATTGGATCAACTCCGCGCAAAACAAAAGAAACATTCTATCTATCCGGATTTGAGCTACAGCGCAAGTACAACAAAATTAAAAAAACTCGGTATATTTGCAAGGTTTCGGGTGGAAGCGATACACTTGCTCTTATCGAGACAACTAGCGACAATGGTGGTAGAGGAGGCACACAGCGGGAAAATGCACCACTCATACGTTTCCAAATCGGCACCGGTAGTGAGTTGGATGACAAAGGGCAACTCATAACATACGAAGAGTACACGCCGTTTGGTAGTCCAATATACACGGCTGTATACAAAGATGTCAAGGCACCGCGCACCTACCGGTTTGCTCGATATGAGCATGATCGTGAGACGGGCCTTTATCACTGCGGAGCAAGGTACTATGCCTCATGGCTAGGTCGCTGGACGTCTCCTGACCCTATGGGGGACGTAGATGGTCCGAATCTCTACCAGTACGTGCTAAATGACCCGGTGAACGGCACCGATCATACAGGCACGTCGACACGCACTCCAAAACAGTTTATTATCAAGTCCAAGTCCAATCTCAACGATAAGCACCTCGGCCAGTGGGGTAGGGGAGATAATGGGGTGAGGCCTTACCAGCAGAATCAATATCATGACACAGATCCAGTCGTGGCCAACTTATTGAACGAGGCAAGGCTGGCTATGGGGTCCACAGAATCTCGTCATCAGTATGGTGATGTGCAAGCAAAACATGATAATATGAGGGCCAACACAGAGTTGCATCAAAGGCACAAAAATTGGGAGCAGATTGTGACTCAAGACGTTGGCAACCGCGGGCACGAAATAATCAATAAGGAGGAATTTCAGAATGGCCGCGCCATGATTCGACAGCTACAGACACAAACTAGAGATGATTTCAAGCATCTCTGCAGCAACGAAACCCTCGATAATCTTCAAAAAGCGCAGAAGGTCAATCAGAAGGCCATTGATGAACGGGACTCTTTGGAGAGCAATGTACATGGGCCGCTGCTGCAATTTGGTGTCAAGATTCTGAATACGCTAAAACAGGTCAAGCTGAATCGAGACGAGAAACAAGTGAATCTGGCCCGAGGTAGTCTCAACAGACTTTACTTGGCCAATCAAGAGGCTAAATCCGACTTTGACCGTTCTGCATACCGCAAAGACTTCATAGAAAGGGCACAGCGGTACATAATCGATCTCGAGAAAGGCACAGAAGAAAGAACCAGGAGTGATTTGAATAACATTGCAGACGCTAAGCATATGCTCGAATTATTCAAGAAACAATCTGAATTCGCCGACAATGAAGCTTCTAAAGTGCAAAAGAATGAAGCACTTGCAATAGAAACGACGACATCGTTCAATGCTAATGTGAACTACAAGAATGAACTGATAGCTGGCAGTAGGACAGGTGCTCCACCAAAACGTCAGGAAGTGTACCTTCACAAAACATATGGTTCATAAAAGAATACATGAGCGGAGCATCACGGAGATGATTTCCCCGGCTATCTATAATGTTTGTTTTGAGCTAAACCGCTAGAATAGTCACCTAATACCATCTTCAAAGTTCCTGGCAACCAGACACACAAGTTCTGCTGTAACGTCCGCAACACCAACTTACACTTCGCCGACTACTACTGATTCAAGGACGGTTCGGCCCTAGCTTCTAAGTTGAATAGTTTCTGCTACAGTAGCTGCCTAGCTAAGCGTGTCCAAGAAGCCATGAGTTGTTTATTCTCATCTTGGACGACGGCAAATTTGCCCTGCCCTGAGTTTTCCGGAATAATGGCTATCAAACAATAAGTTTAAGTGAATATAAGGTTTTCCGTGTATAAATCGAGTGTACAGGGTCGTCAATTGATTCCGGCGTCGGGTCCCGGACCCCTTATAGACGTTCTCTGTCTCACCATATGTTCGCATCGACATGTTCTCGACTTTTCGGGTGAGCCATTGAAAATGGCTAGCTGTTTCTGCAGCTGCATGGCGGGACCAAAGCGGGATTCCGGCCCTGCCTCAGCTGTGACGGGTCGCCGAGATCAACTTTTAATACTCAATATTGAACTAAATCTAGATCCCGCAAACACTATTATTCTATGGGGGCTGGCTGAGCATCTCAGCTCCTGTGGGTCTCTAATCCGGCACGAACTATTAATAATAAATGGGGAAGATTAAGTCAATATAGAGCACATGATTCAGCCTGAGTATTAACTACATAGAACTTTGTTCCGGGTATCGGCAACACAAATATTTGTTTTTCTAACTGTATGAAGCAGCATATTTGGGAGTATATATTGGCGTAGAGTTTAGCATTTGGAACATTGTCTCCGCAAATCATTCGGATATAGTCCAGCATATTATACTGCCTATAGTTGCATCTACATTGCTTGAAATCTGACTCCATCTCTTGTAACCTTCCTCTACCTCTTGCACCTCAACCTCTTGCAATCTCCTACCCCTCGACAAAATGGGTGACGCTGTGATCAACGGTACCTCCCGAATGGGACTGACTCTTCAAGGTTACGATCAAGCCATTGCTCTTTCGCAAACCAACATCAACCAAACCCTAAAGAGGTATTCCACGATTGATGAGGCCGCTATGGCTAACTTTAAGGCCGTCCTCGGTCCTGAAACCGATCCCGACTACACATCGGAACTATTGAGCCGCCAACTATTGAGCTCATTGATGCTGACAAGGCCGACCAGGCAATCTACACCATCAAGTTCAAAACAAAACTCAAAGTACACTTATTGGGGCGTCGATCCGAGCAACAGGCGAGGCTTACCCAAAAGTTTGAATAGTCAGCCGAAGGTTCGACGCTGGTCTTCTTTGTCAACTTCGGGCTGCAATGGTGCGAGCGTATGCCGGCCGACCTGCAGGCTGCCGTGAGGAAAGCCGGTTCCTACAGCGTCGATCAACCTGTTATCATTTTCAGAACCGCCGATCTGATCGATTTCAACTGGATCCAGTCAAAATTTCCCGGCCTCGACGATCCGACTGCACAGCTCAATACCAAGACAAAGATGCCGGACTTTATCAACCAGTGGCTTATGTAGCTAAAGTCTGCCGCACCCGGCAAGTCGCACAATGTGCTTGGGTACTCCGTCAAGCTCGACCCACATGCGACCAATCCCGCGAGCAACTGCTGGCAAAGATTGGCAACGTGCCGCCTTCGTTTCCCCCCACCAAAGCTCAGTTCCAGACTATTGGCAACAAACCCAGCGCAGATGCGGAAGGCGATCCTCCAGATCCCTACAATGCATTCCTCTTTACCGAAATGTGTGGCGTCCCCGGCATTACCACTCCGTGGGCGCTGCCGCAAAATGATCTCCAATGGAGCGACAATTGGTTCTATGGCGTCATCGTCGGCAGCCTAGCCATGTCGAGCACCATCTTTTTGAGAGAATTCGTCGGCAAGTTCGTAGAGCCCATCCACAAGGACTACTCTGCCTTTGACGATACTCTGGCAAGCGGCAAATCTGGGATGCCGATGTTCGGATAAATCGAGTCAAGAAAGATGTCAAGTTGCTTGGCAACTGCGTGCAGGGCCAGTGGCGTACCGTCGGAAATCAGTGGGTGCTCGAATCAACGTCGACAAGCACACACGCCGAGATCCCCTAGGAAGACGGGGGCAAATCATTTACGGTACGGGCCATTGTGCAAGCAACCATGACGAGCGCTCTGAAGCCTGTTCCAGGTACCGGAAAATTTCACATTGGGCAAAATCTGCAGGTTGTGACCAAGTGGTCCAACTTTTCTATCCAATACGCCTTTCATGTTACATCAATCTTCAACGGAACTTATGTCGTGCAGTTGGCATCTGTCGGCTCTACTGCCGAGCTTACATCCAGCGTGACATTTAAGAACAACTACAAGCCGGTTCTCACATCCACAATCACCGAAAGTGGTATTCTCATTCGGGGAATTGGCAGTAATCAGACGGAAGAGGAGAAGAGGAAATGGGATGAATATCAGGCGGTTCTGATTGGCACCATCGAAATCAGGGTGCCTAACACAGTCGACTTCACCATCAAAATCAACCAGGGCTTAAACGACCAGAGAAAGTTTATCTTCCCAGGAGGCGGCACCTTGGATATGAGCAACCCTATATTCAGCAACACTGGGGATCTTCTGCTCGGCCTGGTTTATCGACAAGGAAAGATTTAGTTTTGGGACCTTTGCAGCAGCGTTTGATTAGGCAACAGCTAGCATTTTCAACATCGTGTCTGAGTTCGTATACTAGGCTCCTTGTTGTTGTGAACCCGTTAATCCTGCAGAGACTAACTGGAGGTATCACTTGGTTTGCTGGGTATGTGCTTTATAACGGATCACCAGATTCTAGCTTATATAACGAGAAGCTTCTGTTAGGTCTGTACTGTATCGGAGTATCCGCTTAGATTGCGCTGTTGGGGCCTAAGATATATATGTCTGCGTGATACACACATGAAGTATGTTATCTTGAGGCTCGTTGCCTACCCTGGGAGTGGATAAATATATATAGATATTCTTTACTATTTTATAAAATTTAATGCCTGGATTTATTTAAAAGATATATTACTGACTGGAATTATATAAATACTAAAATTTTAATATATTAAAACAGGACTTAGAAGGGCTTGGAAAGCCTATTTTCTCTCTCTTTTAAAATTTTAATAACTAATAAAAGGATAACCTAGCTATTAATATTATAGTATAAGTTATAGAATTTAAATTTATTAATTTAATAGCTAATTTAAAATATAGTATTAGTAATATTTATTACTTTAGATATTAATATATTAAATATTTATTGTTATAACCTAAACCCTGTGTTTATATATTAGTAGCCTAGAGGTATATACTTAAGGATTAACTAAAGACCGACAGACCAATTAAAGGAAGATTACAGTTTATAGGCTCCTTTATTAGATTACTTTTATAAGCTATTATAAGCCTATGCATTATAATCTAACTATAATTTAAATAAAATAACTTATTATATAAAATTATTTATTATGCTTATTAAATATAGCTTAAATAGTTAGTTATTAATATAGTATTTATATAATAATTAAATTAAACTTTTATTTAAAGTTATTAGCTATATAACTAAAACTACTTATAAAATTCCTTATATCTTTCTACTAATATAAACCTAATATTAAAGGTTTATCCTTTAAGAACTAGCTACTTTATATTAGGTATAAGATTAAAATGTTATATATTAATAACTTTTATTTAAAAAGATACTTTAGATCTTTTAAGTAATTAAATTATTATATCTTAAGACAGTATTAAAAGTTAATTTACTTTAAAAGAAATTTTTTTTTTTATTTAAGATAATAATAAAAATATTATTATAAAAAAGACCTTTAATTAAAAAAATATAAATAATAATAAAGCTATTAAATTAATAAAAAATATATATAAGTTAAATAAAATTTTTATAAATAAACTTAATAATAAAAAGTTTATTAAAAAGAATATAAAGGCATTTATTAAATAATAACCTTTATTTATATTTAATAATAAAATTAATAAACTTTACTTCTTTTAAACTTAACTTAAGGCCTACTTTAAAGATTTTAAAACTACTTTTAATATAAAATATAAAAAGACTTTCTTTATAGTCTTTTACTTTAAAAAAACTGCTTTTAAATAGTTTTGCTTAATGTAAGACACCTACCTTAATAACTTAAATAAACCTTTATTAACTTAAGTTTAAGAAGTTTTTAATAATTTTAAATAATTTAAAAAAAAACTTACTAAAGTATTTAAAGATATTAAAGAAATCTATATAGCTAAAAATAAATTTATAAATATTTATTAAAAAGGAAAATATTTTAATTATACTATAAAATTTAAAAATTTAGCTTTTAAAGTTAAATAAAAATAACCTACTTTTATTAAGTAATTTTATAATAAACTTAAAAAAAGTATTAAAGAAAAGGTTTATAATAAAGATTAAATTAAATATAATTTTATTTTCTTTATAAAAGAATATATTAAAGTTAATAACTTACTTTATAAACTTAATATAAGAAACTAAGGCTTTAGTAAAAAATAATTAAATTAAAGTAAAAAATAATAAAAATTAATTGCTAAAGATAATAGTAATATAGCTAGACCTATAGACTTTAATATAATATAAAAAAAGAAAAAGAAATTTAAATATTATAATTATAAAAAGCTAAACTATATAGCTAAAAACTGTAAATCTTTAAAAAAAAAATAATTTACTATTTTTAAACTAAAAATAATATATATTATAAATAAAGGCAATAAAACTATTTATTTATTAAAATAATTAAAATCTTTTAAAAATAATAATAATTATAACTTTTATAAATTTACATTTAAACTCTTAAATATATTTAAAATATTAAATAAAGAAACTAATAATAAAATCCTTAATTAATAACCTATTCTTTAAGTTAATTTTATAAATATAGCAAACTTAATTAAAGACATTGCCTTAGAAAATAATAAAAATAATAAATAATATAATTATAGACATTACTTTAAAGAAACCTAAAATATTATATAATAATATAAAAATTTTACCTTTAAAATTATAAAACTTAATTTATTTTAATATAATATTATAAATAAAGTATATATAAATATAAAATATTCTTTAATAATATTATATACTTACTTAAATAATCTATAAAAGTAAACCTTAAAAACCTAGTATATTATTAAAGCTATTATTATTAATTAAGCACTTACCTAAGGCCTTAATTATAAAAAAGTAGCTAAAGAGTATAATTATATTAACCTAGTATATCTACTGCATTATTAAATTAATTAAATTAATTATATTACTTATAGATATATAGAGTATTTTAAATAAAAGGCTAAAAAAAATATTTTTTTAATATATATTTTTTAGTATATAATCTTAAAACCTTATAATAATTTATACTGCTTTATATAAAAAGCTACTTAATAATATTAATCTTTTAAAATAATTATCTTAAAACCCTTTAAATATCTAGATAAAATAAGCCTTTTTAAGTACATTAATTAATTTTATAAAGTATATAAATTAAAGAAATTATAGGATTAGCATAAGCAAGAAGAGATTAAAAGAGTAAAGCTAGATTATTAATAAAAAGAATTTAAAAATTATAATAAAATAAAATATTTATAATATATAAATAAAAAGATTAAAAACTAATACTATTTAAAAAACTACTAAAGTCCTTTATAAAAAGGCAGCAGAAGGACTTATAATACTTAAATATTATTAATTTAAAATATAATAATAAAAAAAAAAAAAAGCATTTTAATAAAAGAATTATTTTAATAGTATTATTAAATAAAAATCCACTTAGTATTTTAATAAATAATAAATTAAAAAGTAACTATATATCTACTATAATTATAATATGCCTGCAGTTATTAATATATAAAAAAAAAAAACTATATTAACTTTTCTATATTAAAAAATAAACCTTTAAATATAATAAAAGATAAATAAAGTAATAGATTAATTCCC